AGAAGATCAGGGTTCCTCCATCTTAATTCTTCATGGAAGTAGACCGCGACCAATCAAGCAGTTATATATTTCTTCTTGCAACTTCGTTTGTTTAAATACACATAGTACATGCTCAACTGGCACATTTTTCATCAGTCGATTGTGCACCTAGAGCCAAAGCTTTTGCATAGATCACCGTATATCGCCATCCCAGTGGCAGTGGACAACCTTGCCTGAAGGTGCTAGGTGTTCTCTGTCTTTCAATCGAAGCTGAGAGGATGTTGCTAACCAAAACGCAAATGCTCAACTTTCAGCAAAGAAAACTTATTATTCTACAAGTAATACTAAAGAACCATTCCAAATGCTTGCAGCTCTGTGCCCTTGCCGTTACCGGCATCCCTCCCTTTTTGCTTTTGTCAGGTCTATGATCCTATTTTGAACTTTAGCGAACTGTTTTGAGGTGATTTAAGCGAACCTTTACTTACATTTTTAACCTTTTAATTTATAGTCTAATTACACAGAAAAGACATTTACTGTCTTTCTGGCCATGCGTACTGAGATATGCAGTTTAATCGGCTATGAGGTGCATTTTGTTATTTTCAATTAATCAACTACTTACTTCGAGTTAGTAAGCATTCGTTTTTCAATTTTATCGTCTTGTTGAGCGTGCACCAATTTCAAGGGCTTGCCCCTGTTGCGCTGTTTTATCCTTTGCGCATTCCCATTTCCTTGTCGAATTCGAACTATCCACATCAGATGCTAAAAATTCCATTTTCAATTCACACGAAGCACCCTTTACGAGTCAGTTGCTCATCTACCTACTATCTGACAACTTTCCACGATACGTTATTTGACAGGTTCACCACTTCCTACGCCACCGCTCTATTTCATGCATTTTATTTTATCGCTTCCAGTTGTCGAGCTACTCTGTCACCCACACAAGAAATTGCTAGATCATATTTTGCTTTTGACTGCCATCAGAAAGTATTGTGATTTTCGCCGCTTTTGAATTTCAGTCTAGCCGGAAACAGGGCTCTGCCACAGGAGACTTTGGCACCTTCAACCGGAGCCGGCGTTCCCACTGGAGCTGTTTTCCCACACCCGGCAGCTGAAGCGGAGGCTCGACGCGGCCCTGCAGCTGTGAAGATGCAGGATATGCGTATTCTCGGGGCCACCCAAGGCCAACATGCAACTTTGCGTCTTGCCATGGAGGAGAAGGTTCTCAAACGCATGCACCCGAGGCAACCATGCATGTTTTCTCATCACCCGCTTGCTGCCCAGCTGGATGGCAGCTTGGATACAATCGATTTTTGTGACATTCTCAACAGTAAGTTAAAACAGATCAGATCGTCTGCCCGCTTTCATTGCCATGTCGCTCCCTCTGTTATAAAAAAACTACGTCATAATAAGTCGCATACTGATTTTTATTTATTTAGTTGGTTTGGGATTTGGTTAATNNNNACCCAATTGTGAAAAAACTCGCGGCATTCGGCGAGATTCGAACCCGCATAAGAGGGAAGGCCTTCTACGCAAGCCAACGCTCC